TAAGTGTTATGTTGTTTTCCGTTGTCCACTGGAAAACTTGGTTTATATCTGCTTGGAGATTTACCGTGTCCTCAGTGGAGGACAGTTTCATGCAGATGACACGGTGCTATGGTTTACATCTCTATGTCTGATATGAGGATGAGGAACAGGTTGGGGGGCTTTTCACTGTGACATCCTCTGACTTACTCTGTTTACCACTACTCTCTGTGTTCGATTGGTTAGAAAGTTGAAGATCCATCTGCCCACTCTGTAGCACGCATTTTGTGTGGTATTATACCATGATCGCACTTGTCAAAGGCTTTTGCAAAATCTGCATTGTTTGTCATCTAGTGCACCCAGGACTATATCATAGTGGTCCAGTAGTTGCGTGAGGCAGGATCGACGTGCTCTAAACCATGCTTCCCCGGATTGTGCAATTTTGGGAAACCAAGTGATTTGTGATGATGCTTCTTAGAACTCTTCTTTTTTTTCATGATATGGGACGTTAGAGCTACTGGTCTATAGTTCTTAGCTATCGCTTTGCTGCCACCTTTATGAAGTGGGGCTATATCCTGGAAGTAAATAAATACCCAGGGGTTGAGTAAGTAGTATTTTTTATTTTTTTTTGCATTCAAGGGAAGAGGCAATAAAGACCCCAAAGAAAATAAACACGGTGCTTGTCTATCTTGGTTTATTATGGGTTACTAATCCATTGGGGGTTAATAAACCGAATAGCAGTTGTCAGAGACAACTTACTGTCGTTCGGTACACGACGATCCACCTCGGGTGCTAAATTCATGTGATGCCTCGTCTATCGCTAACTAATAATAATAATATAATAATATATTTATTTACTACAAGTACATGTACATGGCCTAGCTGACATCAATGACATACTACTATATAGAAAGCCCCTTGTTATGCTGAGCATTTCGGGCAAATTAGGCCAGTGTCCCAGGATGCGACCCACACCTGTCGACTAACACCCAGGTACCCAATTTACTGATGGGGAACATAAACAACAGGTGTAAAGAAACACGCCCGATGTTTCTACCCTGGCTGGGTATCGAACCCAGACCCTCGCCGTAATGGTCACCGGGTGATATTTGTAGCTCTGTTTGTGGTAGCGTTGAGTTTTTTTTTTTTTTTTTTTTTTTTTTTTTTTTTTTTTTTTTTGTGGTGGTTATAGTGTTCAGCTCAGGTATCAACTTGGCATCTTAAGGGTTTCAGAATTGGCAGTAGTTAGTGCTTCAAAATTATGTAGACAAGTTTATGAGTATATGGCTTTCTGTTTTGGGATAGTGTAGCTCTACAATTGTAGGGTCAGACGGCTTTTTTGGGGGGGAGGAGAAGGAGGAGGAGGAAGAGTAGGAGAAAGAGGAAGAGGAGGAGGAGGAAGAGTAGTAGTAAGAGTAGTAGTAGTAGTAGTAGTAGTAGTAGTGGTGCTGCTCAGACACCCTCAAGATGGGTTGAGTGGGAGAATATTTTTCAGTGACCACATGAAGGAAAGACATGTTGCAGTATGCGGCTGTACTATGGTATACGCACTTTGAAAACATAACTAAATAGACAAATCTGAAAGATATACTACTAATTGGATTCTAGAATTCGGAAATATGAGTTTGGAAGAAAGAATAAAATACAGGAAATGCGCTAGTTGTAAGACATGAATAACTACATACACGTTTATAAAACAATATAAAAGTATATTTCTTGGTAATATTAATAAAAAGAAGAAAAGGGTAGATAGCTAGCATAGAATCAATAAAAATTGTCAAGAACATTGAAATTTTAGCAACTCGTATGATAATTTATAATAGACGATAGGACACCACTTGTGTAATATATATATACATATATATATATATATATATATATATAATATATATATATATATATATATATATATATATATATATATATATATAAATATATATATATATATATATATATATATATGCATTCACGAAGACCCAGGCAAGGAGAAGTTCAGGTTGAGCTGACAGACGCGCGCTTGCATACCAGGCAGAGGCCGACACCAGGGAAAGGGGACGATGACATGGGGTTTCACAGGTTGTGTGGTAACACACAGCCAGATCCTTGTGCAAATATTAAACTATTACAGTGCTACTGAGAAAACCATAGGCAGGGGCTGCAGTGAAATGTAAAACTTCATTTGAAATAAAGTGACACTGATTTTTAAGTGTCATCATAGGTTATAGCTGCATGTGGTATGCGTACATCTATGTGCCCCAGAATCATCGTATAAATTTATGCTTTTGTGTACAAAATAATTTGTAGACTTTTTGAATAAAGCTTATCACTGATCCTCATCTGTGGTTCAGTTGGTAGCGCTCTCAGCTCGTATTCTTGAGGTCCGGGGTTCGAGCCCCAGCAAGGGTGAAACGTAGGGCATGTTTCCTTACACCTGTTACCCCTATTAACCTGGCAGTTAAAACTTGGATGTTATCGGCTTTTGTGGGCCACATCCCAAGGGGTGTTAGTATACCTCATATAGGACTTGGCTTTGAAATGAGCTATGGCAGGATAACAGCTCTTAGCCTCTAAATTCAGCTGTGTAAAAGAAAAAAAATAGCATCGAGTATCTGGACTATATAGATCCCCATGCATGACCCCACACTGTTTTCTAGGTACCTGTTTGTGTTATCTTATGTCCAGAATCTAGACACTTATTGATGATGTTTCCATTGGCCCTCCTCGCCTTTCCATTCCTTTTCTCAAAGTCTGGCAGCTCATAAGAGATGGTAAAAGTAGTTCCAACCCTGCTGGAAGGAAACCTGAAAATCTGCCGTAACTACTGAACTCATACTAGAGTGCTTGACCATTTCCTCATCGCCTTCCTGAAGTCTTCTAGCTCAGGCTGACACATTTTCATTACCTCATGTATACAACCACCCATCCTGTGTAATGGAATAAAACAGAGGAAATATAACTAGCTTGTGGTTCTATCATGCAACATTCCTGGATATATAGCCTAATGGTTATATATCCAGGATTGTTAAATAAAGATTTTTTTTCTACCTGTTTTTACAATTCAAAAACTTATATTTAACTCTTGACTAGTTCATGCCTAATTCCACATCACTTCCAGAAAGTCTCACCTCTGACATGTCGCTTCACAAGTGCAGAATCATACAGTGGTTCATTTTGATATATATATTTTTTTTTTCACTGCTGAATTTAAAGTATTATGTGTACGTATAACGTTGGGATTTTTTTGTTTAACTTTTAGAGGTAAAGAGGGGGAAGGAATAGAGGCCTCACACCCACCCCAACTTGTGATTTAGTATTACATCTGATTCACACGCTAACTTTCACATGCGAGTTAGCAGTGAAGAATACGATCCAGGTTGATTTTTACTACTCAGGGATTGGGTTAGGGGAGTTTGAAGGCAACGGGGAATTGTTGGCTGCCAGGGTACCTTTGTAACTTGTCATGATTGTGACCAGATCTACCTGGAATTCATTACCTTTGTAACTTGCTCAGCTATCAAAACTTTGGGGCCCAGTCCCTGGACTCTTTATGTACCTCTGTACTGTTTTGACTACCGCCCACAGGATGGGTATGGGGTGCATAATAAAGATGTTAAACTGTTAAACTAACAGGGTGTATGACTGGTTACAGCCAGCATTTACCCAGACACTGGAAAGCCTACTACCTGCTGACGTTACGATTAGCTGAGCTGTGGTGGGGAGAGTGAGGGTTTGGCTATAAAGGAGAAAGGGAGGGTTTGGTAGTAGAAGGAGGAAGGGTAAGTCTGTGGGGAAGGGAGGGTATTGCTGTGTTGCAGGGATGGACGGAGGGTGTTCCTGTGGTGCAGAGATGGACGGAGGGTATTGCTGTGGTGCAGAGATGGACGGAGGGTATTACTGTGGTGCAGAGATGGACGGAGGGTGTTGCTGTGGAGCAGAGATGGACTGAGGGTGTTTCTGTGGTGCAGAGATGGACGGAGGGTATTGTTGTGAGGCAGAGATGGAGGGAGGGTGTTGATGTGGTGCAGAGATGGACGGAGGGTATTGCTGTGGTGCAGAGATGGACGGAGGGTATTGCTGTGGTGCGGAGATGGACGGAGGGTATTGCTGTGGTGCAGAGATGGAGGAAGGGTGTTGATGTGGGGCAGAGATGGACGGAGGGTATTGCTGTGGTGCAGAGATGGACGGAGGGTATTGCTGTGGTGCAGAAATGTAGGAAGGGTGTTGCTGTGGGGCAGAGATGGAGGTAGGGTGTTGCTGTGAAGAGATGGAAGGAGGTAGAGTGTTGCTTTGGTGAAGAGATGGAAAGAGGTTGAGTGTTGCTGTGGTGAAGAGATGGAAGGAGTGAGGGTATGTCTGGCTGTGATACGAGCAGTTGTATTGTTTCATGATTATTGATGATACAGCTTCAAGGAAGCCTCGTATGTTTATTACACACTTCCACTTGTACCGAGCCGGTGTTGAAATATTTCCGGTTGACACGGTGTGTAGTTTTACCCCTTGCATGATAAGAGATGGTTTTCTGAAGACTAAAATACATGTTCAACACTTGGGTATCTTTACTCTCGAAACTTTTCACTTACACAACAAGCTTCTTCAGTCGAATATAAAATTGGAGATAGTAGTATTTGATTTGACGTGATCAGTCCCTCAAGCTTATAAAGCAAAGACTTTCGGTGAAACCTTATATAAACCATACCCCCGGCCGGGATTGAACCCGCGGTCATAGAGTCTCAAAACTCTATGACCGCGGGTTCAATCCCGGCCGGGGGTATGGTTTGTTTGCAATCGTGTCATTACGATTTCTTGAGTCAAACCTTATATATTAGAGCAGAAGTGAGGTGAAGCAGCTGGAGGTGACATCGCAAGAAAGCTTGCCCTCTAGTGGACGTAGGTCATGCTACACAGTTTAACAGAGTTGAGTTTCAACTCCAGGGTCTCGAATATATTGAGCTACAGCTCCTGATACTACCAGTGATACACCGGTCTGGTCTCAGGCAGTATTGGTGGAGGTGATAGTGATTATGTTGGTGGTGACAATGGTGATAAGCAGTAATGGTGCTGGTGCTGGTGTTGGTACTAGATACGAGTGAGGGCACGGTCATTGTAGACGAGGAAGGCAGCGGGTGAACTTACTGAAGTTGGGTTGTCACCCTCACACGCCTGGCGCCATGAGTATTAAAAGAAGACTCGTGATTGTTCTCTATGCTTATCAACCCACTGGTGATACTACTGAAATGGTTTTCATACATAACCCGTTCTTCCACCACCAGTGATATATTTATATTGCCAAACTATATTGGACTATTGTGTACTTATTTGGGATTAAATATTGTTTTTCTAAGTTAATGTAACGGTTGCAAGCCAACATAACGTAACCTTGGTCCCACATCAACATATTAGAATCACTTAAGAAAACAAGAAGAGGTTTGGCAAGCTGTGCAAAATGCCTCCGATGAAAAGCAGGGGCGAGACAAGCACACCAAGAAACAATTCATTAAGTATAAGGGGGATCAAGACTCAACACGTCCTCTACATACATAAAAGGAATACCAACATTCTTCTAGTAGTCTTCAAGAGGAAACTTGAGAAATTCCTCAAATTATTTTCTGATAAACCGGGCTGTGATGCACAATCTTGATAGAGTGCCGCCCTCCACAGCCTGGTCGATTAGGCCAGCAGCATAGAGGCCTGGTTTGAGACCGGGCCGTGGGGGCGGTGTGCCCTGAAATAGTCTACAGATAATCTGCAGGTAAACTCAAGTATAAATGCCTTAATATTATAGTCCATTTTATTTGTCTACAAATAATATACAGGTAAACCTAACTTAAAATGTATATTAATATTATAGACCATTATATTTCTTTAGTTTACTGTCTTCAATCTTCATTTCTTGTAGTCTATTAATCCTATTTATGAGTTTTCTCAAGTCAAACCTGATAACATGATCACGTTTCTCAAGTCAAATCTTGGAGCCATTTGTCGGACCAGGCTTGTAGCCTATCCAGATTCCTTTGTAGCCTTTCCTGGTCCTCGTCAGTTTGTATTCTCCTCATTAGTTTCACGTAATCTGCGAATAAAGATACCTTTGACTCTGTCCCTTCTGTCATGTCATTCACGTATACGAAAAACAACACCAGGCCTAGGACTGACCCTTCTGGAACCCCACTCGACACGTGCACCCATTCCGACTCCACATCACGGACCATCACTCGTGTCCTTCCTGTAAAGTATTCCCTGATCCATTGCAGTGTTTTCCTGTTATCCCTACCTGCTACTCGAGCTTTTTGTGTGTGTAGTAGTAGTAGTTACTAGTTGTCAAAGGCGCTTATCGCTAGATACTTGGCCTGGTGGTGGAGGGTTTGTGTATCCGAGGAGGCACTGTTGTTGTATGTCTTATCACTAGTAGATATAAAAGCAGACGTGTAGTTTTTGTTGTCTATTAGAGACGAGATATATAGCAACACTTCCTGCCTTTAATAAACTCACACACATGGTGGATCAAAGAATATCATAGGAAAGGTAATAAAAAGTAATTGTCAGGTAAGAGACGTCAGAATGGGGAAAAGTAACTAGCGGGGCTCTTCAAGGATCGGTTTTAGAGCTAGTACTGTTTCTGGTTTATTTGAATGACATTCCATATGGGATTGATATAAATATATCTCTGTTTGTTAATAATGTAAAACTAATGAGAATAAAAACAAATGAGGTATAGACTAAGGTGGGGGAAGAGGCTGCAAAATTCACTCACAAAGACCCTAGGGTAAGCACAGTGACCAGTATAACGCTAGATGCTCACATCAGCGAATAATCTCTGCATTCAGTGCTTGTCTGGCAAATCTAAGAGTAGGTAGCCTTTAGGAATCTCAACAGTCATTCCGGGCCCTTTATACAATGTACATAAAGCCTGTTTTGGAATATGCAGCGCCAGTATGGAATCCGCACTTGAAAAAAAAAATGTTTAGGAAACTGTAGAAGTGTGCAACAAGGCTTGTTTCTAAGCTAAAGGGCGTGAGCAACGAGGAGAGGCTAACTGAATTGAACCTAACGACATGGGAAGATAACCAGAAGGCGACGATAACATAAAAAAACATTCATGGCCATTGATGAAGTAGACAGGGATAGGCTCTTATCGAAGCGAGAAACGGGAATTCGGTGACACCACTAAGTTACAGTCACAGATCCCCTCAAGGAAGGTTCCTTGATGTTGGTGAGGGGCTCTTGATTTAGGGAATTGGATCTGTGCTCGTTCCCCGAATTAAGCCTGAATGCCTTCCACATCCCCCCAGGCGCTGTATAATCCTCCGGGTTTAGCGCTTCCCCCTTGATTATAATAATATAAAGCTCCTGGAGACCGATTATTATTATAATCAAGGGGGAAGCGCTAAACCCGGAGGATTATACAGCGCCTGGGGGAAGGGATGTGGAAGGCATTCAGGCTTAATTCGGGGAACTGGAGCACAGATCCAATTCCCTAAATCAAGAGCCCCTCACCAACATCAAGGAACCTTCCTTGAGGGGTCCTGGAGACCGAAATGTTGCCACAATAAAATGTCACATTAGTTGCACTTGTGTCCTTTTACTTTACATATTGTCGGTAATTCCACCAACATTAATACAAGATGGACTTAGTTGTTAACTGAAAAAAAAATCGGTCAAAAGAATACTATGAAATAACATTTCTAGAACAATTTAATGGATTGCAAGAAAATAAAAAGAACAAAAATGGCACAATACCGTGTCTGGAACAATACAAAATACGTAATCCGCACAAGAGAAAAAAAAACCTTATAACAACGTCATCATAAGTTTCTTTCTCCTGTGTGCTGGTTATTTGTGTATTTATAAGATTATAAGAGGATGTAGTGCCACATCCACGAGTATAGCTCTGCTCCTGTTACTACAAATATGGGTAATTGTATAAGAATCAACTGTCTACACAAGAAACACTTATCTACTCCAAATAACCCGCACATGGGACCATCTTCAAGTCACACTTGACTTGCAAAATGGTTCAAGTCCGACCGGAACGTCGTCGTAAGCTTCTCCTATGTGTGGGTTATTTGTACATTATTCCGGTCACAGTATTGTGCCTTTTTGTTCATTCTCCTGTCTACATTCACCTGCTTACACTCACGGCTCCATATTCAAGACCTGTAGTAGTCAGTCAGTCTGTTAGGTTTAAAGCCTAGGGATCACAGGTGGGTAATTGAGGCTGCAGTTCACCTATACACTTGAGAATACTCTTAAACTTTATAATAGGGATTAAGGTAAGCTTTGTATGTACACAGAATATAGTTTGTATATATGCATTGAGATATCCGCCTAAAAAAAAAAAATACCACGGGCGGGGTTAGAACCCGCGATCAGTCTCGCTAGCCCAGTGGCTAACGCGACGGTCTGGAGTTTTGAGACATCGCGGGTTCTAACCCCGACCGTGGTATGATTTGTTTACAATCGTGTCATTACGATTTCGTGAGTCAGATATCCGCCTCTTTGTATGTACCCGTGCTGTATAGTCCTTGTGGCTTAGCGCTTCTTTTTGATTATAATAATAATTTGTATGTACCCTCAAGGGATACCATCCTTTACTGTACATACATTGGGGAATGCCACCTTTTACTACATATACCGAGAACTACCACCTTTCCTTTTACATGACGAGAAATGTGGAAAAAGACACTTATGTACAATTCAGAACATTTATTAGAGGAAATGTTTCACTACGAAACGTTTCAACCAAACCAGTTTGCTTGAAACACCTTTCAAAACATTTGAAAGACTCATCAACCAATGCTTCCGCAAAAACCTTGAAACTAATAACATCCTAATAGAAAAACAGTTTGGCTTCAGATGTCACAGATCAACACAAAACGCTCTAAACATCATCATTAAGTATTTGTACATAAACAAAACCCAAGGTCTTATAAGAGCACTCTTCGAAAAGGATATCAAAGAAGTGTTTGACACTGGCACTGCAGCTAAAGTACAAAATCTGTAACAATTTCAACATCCCAAGCACCACACAGACACTTCAACTTTTTATATAATACCATAATGCTAATAAAATTTCAAAAGCAACACTGATTTTTCTCATTGTATAAGAATACCCCAAGGCTCTGTTCTCTCCTTCACACTAAATATTCACTACACTAATGACTCATCAGACTCAATTCACTGATGTACTCAACATCCATACAGACATTACACAGCAACTCACATACAGGCAGAGTGATACAATGTAACTGAGAACATTATGCTCTACAGGTGCAATAAGCACATGGATACAATGTAATTGAGAACACTATGTTCTATAGGTGCAAAATACGATGAGCGTTAATTTAATAAAAGGGGTTTACACAGTAGATACACGAAGGATGTATACACCGTGAGGTATGTCTCAGTGTATATATGCTGAGAGTTTGATCCGTCTTCGAGGGATTAAAGTTTTCTTGAGTAGTGGTTACCAGGTGTATTTGATAGACTAAGCCAAATTAATCACCCAGGATTAATTAAGATTGCTAGTAATGTTCATAACTGGGATTTTCCTTGCAGATACGTACACTGTTAACGTAAGAATACAACTAATGTATCTTATTGGGAATTTAGCTTATCGTATTTTAGCTCGTAATGTCAAGGACGGTGTGTCAACACCGGCTGTTACTATGGTGCCTCAGCACAACTCCAGCACTACAATGTTTCGTGTTCTACGACAGAAAATGGTGCGAGGTGGAAACCAGCGGCTGGTGATATCTTGGCTGGTGGCGCTGGTGCTGGTGCTGCTGGTAGTGCTGGCGACAAGGAACTCAGCCCGCAGGGACGATGACGGGGGCCAGGTTCGAAGCGCCGTCAGAGCCCTGAGTGCAGTGCAGCGGCCGCTGCCAGTGCAACCTCCAGCTCAACCTCACCCACAGGTGAGTGCACAAACACCAGGAAACACTGACCCCTGCCCTCCCCCCTTAAAACTCACACACCAGCCTCACATCACGAGTGATGTTCTCTCTCTCTCCTGGGCATTGTAATTTCATTTATATTTATGAATATTCTCCATAAAGTCTGGAATCTTTGACAAGTTCTGTGATTATTTTTCTCCTGTACAAGGAGCGTCATTCTCTTTCTAATTTGAATATTTTGTTTATCCTTAAATGAATGAGTAAAAAATTTTCTAGTACCACTAAATCCACCCTCTTGTGACACTGGCTTAAATTCACATTACACTATCTTTCCAGCATATAACAGTAAGATTGTGATTTATTTTTTCTAGATTATCATAATTGTTGATAAAAGATGACTAATTGAACACGCCTTTTGGACGATTCATACTGAGCTATTTAGGTCTGTTGTTGCAAGACTGGTGTTGATGTAGGTCTGTTGTTGATGCAGATCTGGTGTTGATTCAGGTATGTTATTGCAGGACTGTGTTGATGCAGGTCTGTTGATACAGGACAGGTGTTGATACAGGACAGGTGTTGATACAGGACGGGTATTGATATAAGACTGGAATTGGTATTGATACAGAACTGAGACTGGTATTGATATAGGACTGGGACTGGTATTGATGCAGATTTGATGCTCATACAGGTTTGGTGTTAATGAACGTTTAGTAATGATACAGATTTGGTATTGATACAAGTTTGGTGTTATACAGGTTTGGCGCTAATACAGGTTTGGTGTTAATGCAGGGTTGGTCTTCAGGTTTAGGTAGCGTTCCGAATTTGATGTGATTGACACCGTTCTACTCTGTACCTGATCACCGTTATTTTGTGAATGTATGGTTAGGATCACAATGGAACCATCCACTTGTGTAAGTAGGTCTTCGTCCAAAGGTTGGACAAGTATTGAATAATTCTTTGTATCAAGTTAGCATTTATTAACATAGCATTTATTAATATGTTCATCGCAGTCTTGCTCAGACGAGTTTAAAATAAGCTGCATCTTTAATCAATTTGTCAAAAAAATAAATAAATAAATACACAGAATGTATGAAAGGTTTTGGAGGAATGCTGGCAGACGTAGAACTTTACATCTGAACTTGGGTAAATATCCGCGTTGCTTTTACAAATGACTGTGTGTTTAGTCTGTGTTAGCTGTCTGGCAGGCTTGGCCGTGACCACCCATGGATTGTGCACCCGAAGGCCACATACAACACCACTTACCCAACACCATTACCTGACATCTGTGTAATCACTACAGGTAATGACAGCCACAACACCATTACCAGCATCATTATTGGCAATAGCCGTTACAGTACCGTTATTGGTCATGGCAGACACGTTGTGTGGTGTTAATGTTGCAAGAACTCTTCAAAAAAAAAAAAAAGTGGTAGAAGGATTTTGTTTCGAGGAATTAGAGATACCCTCCTTTTGGATCAAACTTGATTGCCTCCCATTTCTCATGCTCTATATGACCCCTACGGGACTAGCACTACCACGTGAATATGTAATATCATTTGTGGCCACAACACAGTTATGTATTATTATTATTATTATTCCCCCTTAAGGGAGGTTCCTTGACGCTGGTGAGGGGCTCTTGATTTAGGGAATTGGATCTGTGCTCCGGTTCCCTGATTGAGCCTGAGTACATCCCCCCCACATGCGCTGTATAATCCTACGGGTTTAGCGCTCCCCCGTGATAATTAGTAATAATAATAATAATTTTATTATTAAACCCAAAAGGGTCTAGTAGATGTATATTGGTGGAGCCCGAAATAGTTTTTCATCTATTACGTGATTTCATCAACATAAAATTAATAACCATGAGTGGCACGTAAAATGTCCAGTTGCCCACGTGGACTGTTAATGGGTTGGTAAAGAGTAACCATCCGTCTTAACACGAGGTGAAACCCGTTAAACGATTTGCACTCTGGCAGGATTGCTGATCTTTGTCTGGTGAACATGTAAGATGAGAGACAAATCTCATGAACTTTATTTAAATTCAATACGCATTTTGTCTTTAATTTCCTGCATTTTTCGTAAGGGTTCGTAGACCTTTAATATTTCCTTTCCAATTTAGGAGACCTGGTTTAAGATCGGATCTTGGGAGCCGTGACCCTCAGACAACACGTTATTATTGCCTTTAGAATTCATCTGTATACCTTAGCTTAGACCATTCACAGTTAATATTCTGTCCTACCTACAAGACAGTTAACACAAATATTAATTACAACCGAGAACATCCAAATTCGCAACTTACCAAGAAGTCATTTTATCCTGTATAGATTAAAGCAGTCTCCTTACATATGCTATAATTTCATGTTATGTTACTGCAGATAAGCCAAAATTAACCAATTATAATAAAAAGTACAAACTACTAAAGGCAATAATGCCTTTATTTTCTCATGTAACAGAAAACGGGAACCACGAAAAACGCATTTAAATCTATACATTGGAAAACACGCGTTGTTAAAAAATTTAGTCACTCCTATATTGCAGCAAAAAACGACGTTCTCTTAGAATTATTATCATCGTCACAAGAATAATAATAATTTAATCCAGTGCTAAACCCGAAAGGGTCATGCAGTGTTGGTAATTTTATTTAGGCACAAGTACACATAAGTACCTTATTGCTAATATAGTCACATTATTATTATTATAATCAAGGGGGAAGCGCTAAACCCGGAGGATTATACAGCGCCTGGGGGGGGGGATGTGGAAGGCATTCAGGCTTAATTCGGGGAACTGGAGCACAGATCCAATTCCCTAAATCAAGAGCCCCTCACCAAGATCAAGGAACCTTCCTTGAGGGGAATATAGTCACAGAAGATGCTAAAGCCATGGGGTCATTTAGTACTATTATTGGTTATTGTTAGTCACAACGGGAGGTAATCAGATTTTATTCAATTCCGTTATGAAAAACCCTTCTGTAACATCAGGGTAATCCACTACCATTAAAGATGTAATATTAACAAGGAACAAGTGGTACCTGACCAGCCGGGCTGTGGCTCGTACGTTGGATTGCGTGCAGCCAGCAGTAACAGCCTGGTTGATCAGGCCCTGATCCACCAGGAGGCCTGGTCACAGACCGGGCCGCGGGGGCGTTGACCCCCGGAACTCTCTCCAGGTAAACTCCAGTTAAATCAGGATGAGTCAAACGACGCAATGGTATTACAGTGGAAATTGGATCACTACCTTCGTAATTGCATTCTAGCGGTTTTATTTTGTGCCTAACTGTTCAACTGCCTCCCAGCACACATAAGGGGGATTACCAACAGACCCCTGGCAGTCTTCAAGCTGGCACTGGACAAGCACCTAAAGTCAGTTCCTGATCAGCTGGGCTGTGGCTCGTACGTTGGTTTGCGTGCAGCCAGCAGCAACAGCCTGGTTGATCAGGGGCTGATCCACCAGGAGGCCTGGTCACAGACCGGGCCGCGGGGGCGTTGACCCCCGAAACTCTCTCCAGGTAAACTCCAGGTCCAGGTAACTATGTTTTATTACATGTAAACTGCATTACCTTTGTACAGCATAAGAGAAATATTTGTGGAAAATTGCATTTATCTGAATGCATTATTATATACATAACAGTAAATGAATATTGATAATTATTATTTATCAGTTAGACAAGTAGGAATTTGGGACACCTAGGTCGCAAAAAATGTCCCCCTTCGATACCTACCACTGCCATATCCACAAGTTGCTCTGGACCTATTAATTAAATGAAATATACATCACCAGGAATGCTGGTAAATATATAAATTTGTGGACTGTATATTAAAATTAAAAAATGATTATCTATAAACACATTTACATAACAGAAGGAGAATATCTTAAAAAGTCACCAATTTGACTGGAGATTAAGGTGTATCATACTCAGAAAATCTCACTAACTAAATCTATGAAAATAATGCTGGCCAGAATCACACACAAATCTAGAGCTTATCTGAGGTTCCTGGAGCTGTCTTGTCCAGTCGTCTGATATCTCAAGTTATGCAGGAATGCATGTCCAACAATTTCGCCTCCTATTTGAGAGGTGTCAGCCAATTTAACCTCTAGAGCAAGAAAATTCCTTCCCCTTATGCTAACGTTGTATCCAATTCAAAACCAAGATGGCCAGTCTCGTCTGCGCAGACGCAGGCTTTCCGTTTTCTATGACATAATATTATTAAATACAGTATGGCCATCTATTTACATACAAATACTGAATTTCTGGAAAATATATACAGTATTTTCCACACTGCGGCTGGCCGGAGTTCGTTGCTAAACGACTCAAATTGCTCATTTGAGAATGGTGGAGGACCTGGGTACATATAGGATCTGGCATCCACACGGCGACATATTACACAAGATTTAATCACCCTTTTTACACTTTGCCGTCCTTGTGGAATCCAGAAAGTTTCCCTAATACAATTTAAGGTATCTTGTACCCCACCATGCATTACATTTTTATGGGCATTTAGAACAATTAAATTTGTTAGATGATGAGTTTTGGGCAGTAAGATAGGGTGTTTAGCATAATCACCCAATTCAGCATTTTGTAACTTACTTCTGCACCTAATTACATTGTTCTCTAAATACAGCCCCAATTTCTCTATTATGGAACCTTTCACAAATTTTCTTTCCATCATCAATTTAATCTCATTTCCATAGATTTCTTCTTGTACCCTCTTTATCCAATATTCAAGAGGATGTGAAAACTTATATGAAATATTCATCTTATTTAGAAATTTAAACACCAACTTAGTTACATTGATTAGTTTGGGTAAAGAAGAATACCTATTTATATCAATGGCTAAGGAAGGACAAACTATTGGAGCAGTGGTCACAGTAATTTCAACAGGAGCAATATACACCTTTTGTACAGGCCAATTAGCTTTATTTACCAACCAGCTCGGTCCTTTAAACCATGATGCAGCATTTACAAATTTAGCATAAGGTAAACCTCGAGACAAGAAATCAGCTTGATTCTCCTCACCAGGTAT